GGATGAGAATTAGCACCTCTAAGTCCGAGGCCATGGTTCTCGACCGGAAAAAGGTGGTTTGCACCCTCCGGGTTGGGGAGGAAGTCCTGCCTCAGGTGGAGGAGTTTAAGTATCTTGGGGTCTTGTTCACGAGTGAGGGTAGGATGGAGCGTGAGATTAACAGGCGGATCGGTGCAGTGGCCGCAGTAATGCAGTCGCTGTATCGGTCGGTTGTGGTGAAGAAGGAGCTGGGCCGAAAGGAAAAGCTCTCAATTTACCGGTTAATCTACGATACTACAATCACCTATGGTCATGAGCTTTCAGTCATGACCGAAAGAACGAGATCCCGGATACAAGCGGCTGAAATGAGCTTTCTCCGCAGGGTGGCAGAGCACTCCCTAAGAGCTCCCGCCTTGGGGTCCCCCCAGAAGAGCTGGAGGAAGTGTCGAGGGAGAGGGAAGTCTGGGTGTCCCTGCTCAGACTGTTGCCCCCGCGACCTGGCCCCGGATAAGCGGTTGATGGTGGATGGTGGATGGATGGATGGAGGGATGGATCTAATTTTTGCAGAGGGGGTGAACCAAGATGAAATACTTTCGATTTGAATTGTTTTTATTTGTCCCACAGAGGGACAAATTGGGCTGGTTTGTTATTTTTTTACCTTTGTTCACTGACACTAACAGTTCTCTGTCTGCTTACTAAACTACAGTAACATGCCGACACATACCATCTTCGTAGGCTGCAGCCGCTACCGTGCCATTGACTTGGACGTGGTCGACGTGCGGCCTGGGGTCTGTGTTTGCTGTCAGGCCGTTGGGTTTCAGGTACGAGGCCCTGGAGTCCCAATGCAGCGTGTCCCATAGCCTGACGTCTCCAGACGTGTATCTGACAGAAGACAATGAGATTGGGACAGAGCTGTCAGTCATGTCGCTCTTTCGCCACTGAATCGTTATCTCTGTCACACATCCACCTCCACTTCTGTCATTTTTTATCCCGTCTGTCAAAGATTACACCAGTGTTGGGGGTTTTTTTTGGAAGAGTTTTGGCAATTTAAAATATCACCAGCAGGTTGTCAATCATCTCTCCTCATTACGCAGTGTTTTTGTGATGTAAGAAATGTTGAAGCCAACGTTGGGTTTCTTAAACCAAATAGCAAAGTTATTACTTTTATTTAAGATGAATGTTAAAACACACTCTCTAATGTTCTGTGATGCAAAATGTCATTTAGGTTTAACAACATATCACATAATACTGAAAGTTTTAATGTTTGTACATTTAAAATCTCTTAATGATTTGCTATGTTGTGTGACTGAACTTTGATTCTCGACTGCTTACCTAACAATATAAACCAGAACCACCAAGAAATTCCGTATATAAACTGTATCTCGATATTGTATGAACTCTACATATATATCGCCCAAGCCAATAAAAAAAATGATGATAAAGACGAACAAGGAAATGAGAAAGGAAAAAAAAATAAAAAGATGAGAATAATTATTAAGGTGAAGGAGGAAAATGGAGATAAAATGGAAGATGAAAAAAACCCAGAAAAAAACAAGATATTCTTGCTAAGAGTCAATGCCCTCTAACTTGTCTACGAGTTCATAAAATAACTTTTTTTACTGTCCATATGTATAACAGACAAACACAAAAGGTTGATTCTGTGTCTGAAGAAAAACAAAACATCAACCAGTGGTGTTAAACTCTGCAGGTCAGACTGTCAGCCTTCTTACTAACTGTATACTTTGTATTTAACACAAGAGGTATTGATTTATTGACTGGAGCTGCAGGCTGCAACTTTCAAGTTGGATTTGATTCAGCACGTGACCTTTTGTTCTACATGTACAAAACGGATCTCACACGTCCATCCCCGGGAAACAACAAAGTTGACTTGAGGCCTTGTTAAGTAGTGAAGTCTACTCGTCCTCACAATGTAATTCAACTGCAGTGAATGTGTTTTCACTGTGGGGGACAGCAACGACAACTCATCAGCCTTTCCACCACCACACAGGGTGAGAGCTAGCCTAGCAGGAAGTAAACATTAGGAACAAACACTGTGGCTTGATTAGAACATGACCTCAGTGCCAACAATCAGCAGGACAAAGTTGCTGAGTCCAAGAAAGCAGGAAAACATAACAACTTTGGGGCAAGCGATGTCACACAAAGCAATTAACAGGAGACAACAATGGTAACACGGAAGGAAGATTTTTTACCACTTTTTTTTTTCAATTTGTAAAAAAAAATCTCACATTTTTCATTTGGAAATTCTGAGTTATTTTGTGTGGAAATGTACAAAAAACCTACCAATAATGCATTACTATAATGCAGCCTGTAATGCTGATTATTATATATATATTTTTACATTACATTACAATATATTTAGCAGAATTAATTCTTAAATATGTAAATAATAATATGTATAAATATAAATCAATTAAAATAAATAAATGAAAATTATAAATAGATAAATTATAATAAACTTATAAATAAATGTGTATGTAAATATTTTATTAATTATTTATTATGTAACTGACACTTTTAACTTACCCTGCTAAGACGAAGTGATCACAGGAGCTGACGTCACACAACACCTTTCCCAGTTCGTACTGCAGCTGACTGATGGATCCCACTCGATTCTAGGCCAAGAAAATTTTTATTTTTTTCCATCTACATATGTCATTGGTTGAAAAATAAGAAACTAAAATATTACATTACATTATTAAGTGCCGCAGACAAAGAACTATTATGTTTTATGTGTTGTGCATGTGTTATGCCATCATATTTATTATTACAGTGGCAGATTCTGTGTATTAGAAGCCCAAGAGCCCACCTTCCAGTTGAAGCGCACAGTTTTGGCTGAGTTCCTGCAGTCTCGTAACGTGCTCTTCCAGCAGGGGGAGTCAGACACCCTGGCATTCTGATGATGACCCTCCTTCGTGCACATCTTAAACCACAGCACGTCATCCTCAGCGAGGACACTCCACGCTTTGCTCACCTGATAAGACATTGACCAGTGAAGCTGTGGATCTTATTTAGTAACATATTATTAATTTAATTTGGTTAATTAAACCAAATTAAAATTATTTAATCATCATCATCATTTAATTAATGTAGACTAATTTAAAGTAAACAAGACTGCAAACACAAAGCAGTCATTTTATATTGTATTTCTGTTCATATATATAGAATGAAATAAATAATCAAATAACCATAACCATAGAATATGCCAGTTTAATGAGCCAAATTAAGTTGTTTTTTTTTCACTTTGTTTAGCGGAGGATGAGTGCAGCTCACCTGCGCACATCGGCCCAGCTCAGTGCAGTCCAAATACTGAAAGATCTTCAAGGCTAGCTCGTATGGCAACTCAATGTCAAAAAAGGGAATGTCATTGACTTCATTCTGCAAAATAAATAAATAAAAATTAAAAAAATAAATTCAAGTTCTGCCTAACTGGTACCACTACTACTCGACTATCAGCGACGTCCTCATACCAAATCCTGAATCAGCTGATCCACCAGCTCCTCTCCTTTCTTGACCTTTCTTTGCGGCTGCTGTTGCTGCTGCTGGAGGGAGACACTGCAAATATTAGTCCTACTGTGATATTGTCTTTTTCTTCTTATCCTTTCCTCCTGGAGCCTGTCCAACAGTGGACTGGTTCTCCCCCCCAGCAAACCGCGAGCAATGGACACATATTCGGGCTGGTCCTCCTCCGGTTCTGATGCTATTTTCCCCCCTCTTGCTCCTTCTCTGCCGCCGCCTAAGCTCGCTTCTCCATCCCGAGTGTGACAGTCTTCTTCAGAATTTGAAGCATTACTGGGTTTGTCTTCAAAATATCTATTTTTCAAGTCTTTCTGACCAGGAATGTCCAGTAAAGGTGAACTAACGACCGGCTGCACATCTGTTTTATTCTTTAACTCTTGTTTCCAATGCTCCCTGAACACAGCAAGTTCGTCCTGGGCCATAATTTTTAACCATTTTTGACAAAAACTACTTTAAACTACACATGATTTGGTGTCGGCTTATTATATCCGCAAAAATATCTCTGAGTATGGAAAATGTAGCTTGACACTGTCGCAAAACAAGCCTGCGTTCTTCTGCATAAACAGTCCGATGGGGAACAGTGCGCGGTGATACTTTGGTTCCGGCATAATCAGTGTTTTTGGCAACAACTGTTAATGAACCGCAAAAATAAATGTTATATTTAATGACAGTAAAGTATAGAGTGAATTACACGTATACATAACATTTTTTGTCACCATAACAAATGATTGATCTACGAGTTAACCAGAGACTCTCTCCTTTGGGAAGGGATGATGTAAACCCAACATCACGTGACTGTAATGAATAATACAGTAGGGAGAACGAGAAAAAAAAGGAGATAAAGGGGGATGCAAGCCCAGTAAATGCTGGATAAAAGAAAAAGGGGGTCCTGTCTCCTTCACACTACGCTGCATTTGAAGAGAGGATACCGAGGATGTGCTGGCTGCCCATAGACCAGCCTTTGCTCCTGCCCAGCGACTCCACCTGCAGTGTCCGCCGACACTCGCCCTGCTCGGTGGCGCAGCTTCTCGCGTTCCGCCTGCGGATGATCGGGGACCAGCTGGAGAAGGGATGGGCGGCCGAAGATCCAGAGGGCGGATACAGGTGTAGGGGCGGAGGTGGTGACCGGCGGAGGTCACCGCCTAAAGAGGTTTCTGTGCACGGTGATGCGCTTCACCGTGCGCGTGCTGTTTGCCGCCAGGCGACACCTGTAGGGCGAAGAGCAGCGACGCCAGCAACAGGTGCGTTCACGGAGTAAAAAGAAAATATGTGAATTCAGATGTTTACTCAGGAAGCCCGATAAATAAATGCATAAGTACATAAAGAACAAATAAAGGCTAGACATATATTAAATAAATTAAAAGATGATTTTTGTAGAAAAAAACGCTGTCATATTTATAAGGTTAAAAATTTGTTATTTCAAATACTGTCAAAATAAATTAAAACCTTACCAAAGTGTCGTACTTTTAATTAGCTTTCAGCTAACATGTTTGCACTGTGATTGTGAGACAAATATGATAAATACAAATCATGTTAAATATGCAAACTAACATAATTTAAATTATAATTTAAATATACAATGGCGAAGTCTATATTTAACATTATATGTACACGGGAAAAAAATCGTCAGAAAAATACCCGATGTAATATTGTTAATTTTCATGCCACATACAGTGGGCATAACGTCACTGTTTAAAGGCAATTCGTTGCACATTAAATTAATTTAATTTCATATTTAAATATGTAAAATTTTCAGGTAGTTTTATTCATATATATTATTCCTCATTATCATTTTTTAACGCTGGTTGTGTTCACTTCAGGTGCCCCTTAAGATATATAGAAATAAAATTCCACATCCTAAATTTACGTTTACCGTATTTGTATTTAAACAATTAGGATTTTATACGTTGTTAATGTTTGCAGTTGTTCTTCAAACTGAACAGTAGTGTGATTTTTCAAGATAACGTCTTTATTCGTACCACAAAGTGGAAATTTACAAAATATTTAGCAGAGGATGGTTTCGATCCATCGACCTCTGGGTTATGGGCCCAGCACGCTTCCGCTGCGCCACTCTGCTTAAAAACACAACATTGTTCAAGTTTAATTTAGGAGGTTTAAGAGTTGGTAGTGTTTGTTTTTTTTTTAGAGAAAATGGATTGCGATGACGTTTACATTCATCTCAGTACGAATCCCTTTACATGAACGGTTCCGGAGTACGACATGCAGCAGCACGGAAGAGATTTGAACAAAGACAAACAAAACAACAGATAAAAATAATTACCCTTATATGTCATTCGGTACAAGTGACTTATTAAGTGCAATTTATGTCCAGATTGATGTCAAACCCATGTTTGTTTGTTGTTGTTTCTTTATACGCAAACGCTTTGTCTATTTTTTTTTCGTCGTGTGTTGTACAGAGTAGATGTCACCTTAAGAACCAGGCAGAAGGAAAGGGCTCACATCATTTGCACTAAAAGCACGGGGATGCCGGAGAATTGGACCACGAGACCGGGGAAACGCAAGTGTTCATCAGCGGAGGTTGGTGAGGGGGAAAAAAGCAGGGTTGAATGTAAACTGCAGAGTGCGCTACTGACTGAACCTACAGTATATGTCGTGTAGACTTTCCCTCCTCAGGGCCAGTGCGGACGATGCACAGGGGGTTTTGATAACGAGCTGACACACACTGCTCCCCTGCACACAGCCAGTCAGTGTGCGTGTCCTGCCCCTGCGTGACACTCAAGATTCTGTCATCCCAGTTACAAAACAGTGATGTAATCCTCCCTTGGTANGGGTATCAATGTGACTGTTGTGAATGTTTACCTTTTGCAGCGTGAGACCTTTACTGTATGTGTATCCAGACCCTGTGCAGTAATAATGAAAAAAAATGCCCTGTTTTTAAGCTTCATCCTTTTTACATAAGCTACACTGTAAGGGCAGGTGTAAATAACGAGAGCGTGGGTGCGTTTCTAATCATACATAAACGTTTTCTTACAGTGTTTAGATGGTGTTTATATGCTATACTCTTTAGCACCTGTTGGGAGCAGTGTTAAGGCTTCTTTATATACACGACACGGACACCCGTGCATTGGATGCTGTTGTGGTTTCCTTGTGCGATCTTCTGAAAATAAGCTTTCTGATAAAACATGTGATGTGGTCAGATCAACATGAAGTGTCTTTTATAAGGTGTGCACTATTGATATTTAAATATTTCTTAAAATGTTTTTTTATGATTATTATCAAAACCTTCTCTGTGAATGCATATCCATGTTGTGGCTTATTGCAATTAAACATGTCTTTGGACCAATCAATGGAATGACATTTTGTTTTATTTTGAAACTTCTTTACTAGCTATATAACTCCAGGGTCTGCAGCCTTCAACACCATGTTTATTATTTTAGCTGCAAATAAAATTCATATAGAGTCAGAATGACTTTTTTCCTGCTTTTATTTAGTAGTAAAGTGTATGGAAATGTAAGTAGTGATACTACTGACAATCTAGTACTAAAATGCATGCAGGAAATGATCGATCACAACACGTTATTATTCAGTATTTAACTTGACATACTCAACTCAGTCACCTGAAGTCAACATTGCTGCCCTGCCTAAAAATTGCATGCCTGATCTTGAATAAAACAGACAGTTTCCATTTGCTATTAGCAAGCAAAAAGAGCAAAAAATTGATTTTACCTTGTTGGAAAAAAAATACAATCCCTTCTTATCTGCTACACAAATATACTGTAATACTGGTCTGTTGTATTACAGTTAAATTTGGTCCATTTCAAGGAACTAGTGTGGGGGAGCTATAGAGCTGCATGTTGCTGGTGAGTCACAGGATGCAGACCCCTGGTGTAACTCAGTGATGTGATACAATAAAATGAGCAATATACAATAACAATTGTAAGATGTAATCTACACACCATTAAATAAAGCAATTAACAGAAAAAGCAATTAAATGAAAAAATAGTCAAATTTTCATTATTTTAAATAAAAAATAAAAATAAAAAACCTTAAGCTATAACACCAAGCTGATTTATGAACTTAAGGAAATCAGATGACAAACAAAAACTATCAAAATCGCTGTAGTTAAGTTATTAGCACTCTATTAAAATAGCATTTTTGATTGACAATAATAATAATAACAACAGTAAAATCTATCAATGTGTGAAGACAAAAGAACGTCACCTTAGTTAACTAAAGTTAACTTTGTCTCATGCAGAGACCTTTAACCTATAAAAGTAGCTTGTTTGCGAAGTTGTGAGGAACTCAACTTTATTTTAATCACTTTTAAACCTAAAACACTGTTTTTTCTCAAAAGAAGGAAAATAAATTACAAATAGTGCAACTTCCCCTCTGTGACACAAAAAAAAATTACTGGGAATAATTGCAGAGCTCCACGCCCTATGTATTGGAAGCGACTCATGTAACCTGTGTCACGGCACAGTTGGATTTTCTGGTCTGTATATGTTGTGTTGTGTTGTTGCAACCTCAATATATCTGGAAGTGAGCTGACGTGGTGCCGTCCTTCCAGCAGCGCACGGTCTCGATGACAGTGGAGCGGCACAGAGGACAAGTTCTCTCCCGGTCGAACCACAAGCTCAGACACTCCTCACAGAAAACATGCTGCACAGGAAAATATATTTTTAACTTTGTGGTCACCATATAGCCCAACTCAGTAGTTGCTGTTTTTAGGAGATATAACTAGTAACAAGAATGAATATAACAAAATCCAGTAAATAAAATATATCTCAACATATACTCAATATATATATACGTATATATATACACAGACAAAATATATGTAAATATATACACAAACATATACATACAAATATATATGCACATGTATATAAATACATACAGGTATTACATGTACATATATACATACATATATGTACTGTATATATGTACATACATATGGGTATATATGAATATATATTACTTGCAACTTTCTTTTTTCATAACCTCTCAGCTCTCATTGAGTTCTTACCTGACACAGAAGAGTGACAGGATCCCTGAAGTCAGACTGACAAATCGCACAGACGTCACCTGCCTCACTGCACTGCTGACTGCTGGCTCTCACTCCGTAGCTCTGCTGAAGAAATGACAAAGGGTCAACCGTCTAGTTGTGTAAAAACGAAAAAATGTTATTTAAAAAAGGTCTGAACCAAACCTGGGATCTGCATAGTATGGCCACAGCTTTGCATATAGCTGATACACGTCCACAGATATCGAATGACTGCAAAATAAAAGGTAGAATTAAAAAAGTCTAAATACCTGTTCAACTTCGCCCAAGATCAGGGACGTCAAAGTTATTTTGGTTCAGGTACCACATTCAGCCTGATTAAATGTCAAAACAGATCCATGTTTTTCATTGTTCTTTGTTTTTATGCAAATAAATACAAGTTTATGAATATTTGAAAATATTCATATTTAATGAAATATCCATCCATCCATCATCGTCTGCTTATACGGGGCCGGGTCACGGGGGCAACTGTCTGAGCAGGGACACCCAGACTTCCCTCTCCCTCGACACTTCCTCCAGCTCTTCTGGGGGGACCCCAAGGTGCTCCCAGGCCAGCCGAGCGACGTAGTCGCTCCAGCGTGTCCTAGGTCTTCCCCTAGGTCTCTTCCCAGAGGGACGGCACCCGAGCACCTCCCGAGGGAGGTGTCCGGGGGGCATGCGATGTAAATGCCCAAGCCACCTCAGCTTACTCCTCTCAATGTGGAGGAGCAGCGGCTCTACTTTGAGCTTCTCTCGGGTGACAGAGCTTTAAGGGAGCGCTCTGCCACCCTGTGGAGAAAGCTCATTTCAGCCGTTTGTATCCGGGATCTTGTTCTTTCGGTCATGACCCAAAGCTCATGACCATAGGTGAGGGTAGGATCGTAAATCGACCAGTAAATCGAGAGCTTTGTATTTAAGCTTTGAGCACTGAGGAGTTCCTCAGTGCAGTTCTGAATATAAGCATTGTTCTGCACTCCTTGCTTTCAAGTCATACTTTGAGATCTCGTATTTGATTCTTTATTTGACTTTATTTGATTCTTTGTGTGTTCGGAACTTGAGAATCTAACAGAGAAAGTTTCCTGACTTTCCTGACTGTCAGGGACCGTTCGGACGTTTTGTGAATAGGTTGAAAAACCGTGACTGAAGAAAGTCAAAAATAGAATAGTAGGTCCTGAAAAAGGTAATGGTGTCTGATGAGAGGTCAGGCACAGTTCAGATGTAAATCTATTAGTGTCTGATGTGAGGTTGAAAACAACCGTTCAGACGTTTTGAGTGAATGAGAATTGTGTAAATGATTGTCTCTAAGAGAAATTAAACTGTATATAAAGACAGTCTCGGAGACAATAAAGTGTTTTTTTGTTTTGATTGTGGTCAAAATTGAGAAAGTTGGTTCACGGTGACAGCTGTTCTTCCGGTGCGTTAGGTACCGTAGAAACTTGGTTCAGTCGATGATTTCTGTGGACGAGTGACTGATCGTTGACCACAATCTTTTGTTGAAATATTGCTATTATTATAATTAACAATATAGTTATTAATTATTATTATTAATAGTGTTAAAATATGGGACAAACACAAGGCAAAGAATTAACTAATTAGCATATGTTAACATAGTAATACAAGCTAATTTAGCTCAGTTAGTGCTAAAACCAACACATATAATAGCACAGCTCCTAAGTATCTAATAAAAGAAACATCAGTATAAATATTATTATCTAAAAAAACAAACAGTAACATAACAATGACTGGAATTAACAATGCACCACAATTAAATGATGATGAAGACATGCAGGAATTTTTTAACGCAATACAGGTCTTTAACCAACCGATACCCACTACAATCCATTATATAAAAACAGATTTTTGGACTGTCTGCCTAAAATTGCACGAGACATGGTTGAGACTTCCTGCGTTGCGCTGAAAACATGTAACTTACAAGATTTCCATGCACATGTAGAACATGCATGAGACATCAGGCAAATAAACAAAAAGATAAGAATAAGCCTGTACAAGTTTTTGTCTCATTGCCAGGTAAAGAATGGTCTGATCAGGGAGCTAGGCCTCAGCAAAGAAAACAATGGCAACAATGGCATCTGACTATGAGGAGGGAAATGACAAGTGCTATAATTGCATGCATTTTGCGAGAATGTGTACAGCTCCGCACAGACAGAAGAAACGACCGCAACATCGAAGGTGCTAGAGCACGTAGGGGAAGATAAGACGGTAACAGAACTGATGGGAGTCGCCCATACAAACCATGAGACGATAAACAGCAGAAAAAAAAACTGTCACCAGAAAGAATCAACACTGTTTGTAAATTGTCAGCCCCAATAACTATGAAACAACTAATGTCCTTTAATTAATAGAGACAATGGATTCCAAATGACCCCAAATTATCTGGACCGTTATATTCTTTACTTTCTGGTCCAATGAGTTCTGCACCAGCTACTAAAATCACATTGCAATCTGATCATTTAAGGTCTCAGTACTGC